ATACACTACCAAATGTAAAACAGATAGCTAGTGGGAAGCAGCCACATAGCACAGGGAGATCAGCTCAGTGCTTTGTGACCACCTAGAGGGGTGGTATAGGGAGGGTGGGAGGAAGACGCAAGAGGGAGGGCACAGGGGGATTTAAGTATACGTATAGCTGATTCACTTTATTATACAGCAGAAACTAACACAACAATGTAAAGCAATTATACTCCAATAAACATGTTAAAAAAACAAAAAATTCATGAAAGTGATACATAGATAACTGATGTTTGAAAACTACTGTTTTAAAACAATATTATTCTAATAACCCTTAATTACAAAAAAAGACCCTCCCTTACAAAAAAGAAAGAAAATTCGAGTATACTATCATAGCACTTGACTATTCTTTTTGTTTGTTTTTTGGGTTTTTTTGCAGTACGCGGGCCTCTCACTGTTATGGCCTCTCCCGCTGCGGAGCACAGGCCCCGGACGCGCAGGCTCAGCGGCCATGGCTCACGGGCTCAGCCGCTCCACGGCATGTGGGATCCTCCTGGACCGGGGCACGAACCCGCGTCCCCTGCATCGGCAGGCGGACTCTCAACCACTGCGCCACCAGGGAAGCCCAGCACTTGAGTATTCTTTTCAAGAAAACTTCTAGCCAAATCACTATAAAGCAGCTAACCCCTACTGGCCTTGGCCAAGGAATCAATATTTAACAATGAAAGTGCTGATTTCTATCAGCTAGTATGCGAATGTATGTAGCATTCATTAAATGCTAAGGCTGGGAAAAAATATTTGCAAATGAAGCAATGGACAAAGGATTAATCTCCACAATATACAAACAGCTCACGGAGCTCAATATCAAAAAAAAAAAAACAATTAAAACATGGGTGGAAGACCTAAATAGACATTTCACCGAAGAAGACATACAGACGGCCAAGAGGCATATGAAAAGATGCTCAACATCACTAATTAATTTAGAGAAATGCAAATCAAAACTACAATGAGGTATCACCTCACACCGGTCAGAATGGCCATCATCAAAAATTCTGCAAGCAATAAATGCTGGAGAGGGTATGGAGAAAAGGGAACCCTTTTGCACTGTTGGTGGGAATGTAAATTGATGTAGCCACTATGGAGAATAGTATGAAGGTTCCTTAAAAACTAAAAATAGAACTACCATATGACCAGGCAATCCCACTACTGGGAATATACCCTGAGAAAACCGTAATTCAAAAGGACACATGTACCCCAATGTTCACTGCAGCACTAATTACAATAGCCAGGACATGGAAACAACCTAAATGTCCAATGATACATGAATGGATAAAGAAGATATGGTACATATATACAATGGAATATTACTCAGCCATAAATAGGAATGAAATTGGGTCATTTGTAGAGATGTGGATGGACCCAGAGTCTGTCATAGAGAGTGAAGTAAACCAGAAAGAGAAAAACAAATATCATACATTAACGCATATGTGTGGATTCTAGAAAAATGGTACAGGTGAACCTATCTGTAGGGCAAGAAGAGACAGAGACGTAGAGAATGGACATGTGGACACAGTGGGGGAAGGGGAGGGTGGGACGAACTGGGAGATTAGGTTTGACATAAATACACTACCATCTGTAAAACAGATAGTTAGTGGAACCTGCTGTATAGCACAGGGAGCTCAGCTCGGTGCTATGTGATGACCTAGATGTTGGTGGAAGGGGAGGAGGGAGGTCCAAGAGGGAGGGGATACATGTATACATATAGTTGATTCACTTCATTGTACAGCAGAAACTAACACAACATTGTAAAGCAATTTTACTCCAATAAATAAATAAATAAAAATAAAATAAGATGAAGATGTACTCTTTATATTCCAAACCCCACCCCCCCCAAAAAAGTGCTAAGGCTATTCTAAAATAATCTAAATGATGATTTCTATTTTGATTTCATAACTTCATTTTAAGGAATTTTTAAATTTGATCCCATAGCAGTTCCTGGGGACTCTCAGAGCCCACAGATGGAGGGAAAATAGGCAAATTACAGTGCGGGATGCTGATCAGAGAAGGGTGGCTAAGGGATAGGAAGGGGAGAAAAGAAGGGGCAGCATACACATATTTAATTTTCCTAAGAAGAAAATTTTCCTATGAATTCTTCACATCAAGAATATACGCCAATTTTCAGAATGGCAGAATAAGAACTTAAAAAAATCTACTCCTCCATAAAAGCAAGAGAACACTGATAAAACTTGTCAAAATCAACCTTTTCAGAAGTATAAAAATTAACCAGTCTTATAACAATCCAAGGTCCATTTATTTACTCAAGAAAAACAACCCAATCTCAGTAAGAAGAGTAATCTCTGTGGTGTTTTAATCCCATCCCCCTCTTCCCAGCTCTGCAGTAGACTTGAAAACCAATAGACTAGCAACTTATGGTAGTTGTTAAAAGCCATCCTCCTAGCAGCCACTAGAACAGATTGGGTTTGGAATTCCCCAAAAGCTTCATCCTGAGAGTTGTCACCATCTGACCCAACCAGCAGCAGACTGAACAGCTCCGTTCTCAGAATTACTTTATTTCATCTAACTCAGAGCTAACTCTGTGGAAGCAGCCCTATCCCCAGGTTGTTTCTCAGAAACAATCTCAGGAGCAGCTGTCTAACACAGCAGCTGCCTGAGTGATATTACCAGTTGGGGGCTAACAAAAGGCTGACCAAAAAAATTTAAAAGGAAAAATTAAGGAATGGAAGGCCCACAGAGGGCTTTGAAAAGCTAGCTCCAACATACTCTTGGGAATCTAGAATGATATATGTACATTCAGGACTGTGTTTGTACCAAAGGAGGATCTGAGAAGGTCCTACTCTCTCACCTCTGGGCAACCCTGAGGCTCTGTGCAAATGAGAAATGAAGTCTATAAACTGCCTACTGGAGCACTGAAAGCATATCCAACAGACTAACATAGCCCCTCAATAAAGGCTGACTCATTAGTTGAAGGCAATTAAAGAAATCCCTGTCCAAACATTGGCTGACCACTAACTCAACAGAAACTGCAAAGGCCACACACAACAAAAAGGCTTCACAAAATTAGTCCAGGAAAGTCACAAAGCAAACAGCAACAACACAACAACAGCAAACCTGACTGAGGTTGGGGATAGGGCATGTCTGATTAACAAGATTGTCAAACTGCTTAAAATGTCCAGTTTTGAACAAAAAAGTACAAAAAATTAGGAGACCCACGAACAAACAGGAAAGTAGGGCCCATACTCAGGGGTTAAAAATAGCATACAATAGAAACTGTTCCTGAGGTAGTCCAGAGGGTTGGACCTATGGACAAAGACAAACAAATATCAGAACAAGTCAGTTGAAATTATCCGATCTGAGCAACAGAAAGGGGACACCCTTTCAGAAACATACAACATATGCATAATGGGAGTCACAGGAGAGGAGAGAGAGGACCAAAAGGATATTTGAAAAAATAATGGCCCCAAACTTCCCAATTCGATGAAAAACATTAACCTACATGCCTCAGAAGCTTAACAAGCTTCATGGTGGATGAACTCAGAGATCCACACCTAGACTTATCATTGTCAAACTACTGACAGTCAAGGAGGATATCTTGAAAGATCAGGAGAAAAGTGACTCATCACATACAAGGGATCCTCAATAAGGTTAACAGCTGACTCCTAATCAGAACCCTGGAGGCCAAAGGCCAAGGGGTGACTTCCAAGTGTTGAACAGGAAGGCTATGAACCAAGAATTCTACACACAGTAGAACTGCAAAATGAAGCACAGTCTACAGAAATGAAAGAAAAATTAAAGACGTTCTCGGATAAACAAAAATGAGAGAATCTTGTCATTTTCAGACCTGCCTTATGAGAAACACTAAAGGGAGTCCTTCTGGCCAAAATGAAAGGACAGTAAATAGTAATTTGAATCCACATGAAAAAATAAGGAGCACCAATGAAAAAAGGTAATTACATAGATAAATAAATAGAAAAGACAGTATAAATGTATTTTTGTTTGTAACACTTTTCTTGTCCTAACTTATGATAACTGCATAAAAATGATAATTATGAAATTATAAGCTTACGGTATATAAAGATGTAACTTATATGACAATAATAGTACAAAGAAAGGGGTCATGGAGCTATAGTGGAGCAAGTTTTTTCTATACTATTGAAATTAACTTGACATTAACCTGAACTAGGTTGTTTTCAGTTTTAAGATGTGAATTGAAATTTCCAGAGCAACAACTAAGAAACCAATGCAAGAAAATATATATATATACAGTGCTCTCCATTTTACTAAATCAAATTACTAAATCAATTCTCAGCGTTAATCCAACAAATGACACAGGTTGATCAGTGTTTTCTCTTTGAAACGCTATCTTTTTTTCCCTCTTTCTCAGGCTTGCTTGTCAGAGCCTCCCCATTTCTCCAACTTCTGAATGGTAGGGGCCTCTGGACTCACTCCTTGACCCTGCTCTCTCTCTCTTATCTTCATTTAATTGGTAGGTGATCGTATCCAGTCTCATGACTTCGAGTTCCAGCTAGACACTGATGGCTCCCAAATCTGTGTCTACATCCCTAACCTATCCTCTGAGCCCCTGACCCAGGACACTCAACTGCCCATTCTATCTCTTGTCTTCCACATCTAATGGGCACTTTAACCTACTTGCCTAATATATGTCTGCATGGCTCACTGCCTCACGCCTTTCAGCTCTCTGCTCAAATGTAAGGTCTTCAGAGAAGCCTTCCACGACTGTCTTACGTAAAACAGAACCTCTCCCTCACTCTGTATCCCATAATCCTTTAAAATTTTCCTTCACTGCCCACATCACAACTCATTTATATTTATTTATCTGTTTTAGGTAAGCTTTAAGAGCTGAATCCTCGTTCACTGTTTTACCTTAGTGCACAGAACATACTTAGACATTTATTAAAGGAAGAGAAAGGGAATACTGATTAGGAATAAATATATAAAAGGGCTTTTAACCAATGCATAATACAAACAATGAAGACACTTACTTTTCCTTTTTTTCTTGTTTGTGGGCCTCTCTCGTAATTTGAGCCGCTTTTCTACTGTATGGATGGATGACTTTTTTTTCTTGTCCTACACTTTTTCCCTTTGGTGCTTTAGGCTAAAATGTAGAGAAACATATGGCACACACAGTCAGATACATAAATGACTTCTCTCAAAAAATTTTCTTTATAAATAAAAATTTAAAACAGTAACATAACAGAAATACTGTGAGTCAGAAATACTACACTACGAATCAGGAGAAACGCCAGACTCAAAGTCTTTGTTTCCATGCTCCTAACAGAAATGATATACATACAGTTGACCCTTGAACATCGGTTTGAAATGCATGGGTCCACTTAAACACAGATTGATTTTTTTCCCACAGTAAATTCTACAGTGCTACATGATCCACGGTTATGGAGGAACTGCATATATGGAGGGCCGACTATAAATTACATGCAGATTTTTGACTGTATGGAGGATCAGTGCCCCTAACCTTGCATTGTTCAAGGGTCAACTGTATTCAGAACTATTCTCCATTAATGTAAGAACAGAAAGAAAGGCACAGAGTCAATGAACCAGCTCTTCAACTGTTCCAGCTTCAAAGCAGATATAAAGAATGCAGATAGTGAGAAGACTCACGGTTGGAAATTTGCATCAAAGTTAAGAAAGTTGAAAGAGGGCAGAAGGAACACAGGATGTTAATGCGAGCCCGACTGCAGAAGCTGCACGTGGAACGCTGGGCAGTGAATAAAGCAAATCAAACTTGGGCTCACAGGAGATGAGGAACCGAGGAAATAATATAAGCCATCTCGAAATTAGCACATCCCATTCAAGCCTTATGCCAGTTAACTAGGTCCTCTAAACTAGTTGTCTAGTATTTCAGTAACTTTTTATTCCTACATAATTCTGTATCTTATATCTGACCTATATTACGTAGGAATTTTGTTTGGCTCCCTATAATAGAAAGCCAAAAAGTAGTGGCTTAACCCAGATAAAGTTTAGCTCTCTCATGTAAAAAGGAGCTGGAGGTTCTGTTCCACAAAGCCCTGAGATCCAAACTCCTTCCACCTTGTTATCCTACTATCCTTAGGCTGTAACCTCGTATCTATCCAGAGTTCAAAATGGCTTAAAAGCAGGTCTACACTGCAGCCAGTGAGAAGTGGAAAAGAAAATCAAAACACATATTCCATCTATATTATATGTAAGGGAGGATTACATAAGCCGTTAGTAAATATAATCTTTATTCTCAGAAAAAATACAGGATTACAGAAGAAAAAGAGGCATTAGCTAACATACCTAATTCTCAAAAAGGTCATGTTTCTAGAATATTCTCTTCAAACCTACTGTCACTGTCTTAATTCAGTCTCATGATCTTTCATGATTAGGATGGCCTTTAGGTTCTCACTGCTAGTTCTTTTTCATTGGAAGTGACAGAGCTTATCTTCCTAGAACACTAATTAGTAAAGTCCTTCTCCCCTGCTAAAGAGGTGCACTAACTCAGGCCTTAAATCCTTAACGTGGAAAACAATCTACTCCAACCTACTTCTCCAGCATTATATCCCATTCTTCCAAAGATCCTTCATCCCATTCTTACTAACTTCTCACCAATTCTAGAATATACCTTGCTGTTTATTTACATCTGGAGACTATACTTGTTGCTACCTCTGCCTGCAAAATCCATTTCCTTACTTGTCCTTTGACAAGACGCAGCTCAAAGTCACTTCCTTTGTAAAACTCTCCAGGCAGAATTAGTTAAAATGACCACCTCACACATGTACTCATTTCATCAACAAATATTTACTGAAATATTTAATATTTACTGCTCACTTCTTGATAAACCTGACCAGAGAAGATTAACTCCAAGTCTGAAACCCAGGATGCCCCTGGAAGCTGTTACAAGTATAGGAGTATAAAGTGTGAAACCATCATAAGAGTATGTGCATTCTTTTGTGTGTCTCTCTGCACATGTGGCGGGGAGGGAGGAAGGAGAAAGGGAGGTGTGAGAAGGAACTTTTGTGCATGAAGTGTGCCCAGCACACATAAATCAAGTCTGTTTGCGCCCACCTGTAACCCCTCCCTGAGCGTGAGCTCACGTTATTGACTAGCCTGGGGCAAAAGCGATGAGCTATCAATCCCAAGATTAGATTATGAAAGGACCCGGGCTCGGTCTTGCCCGCTCTCTTTTGCCCTCTTCTGGCTCACTCTGATGGAGACCAGCTGGCTTGTAGTGAGCTGCCCTACATACACAGGGGCCCCTGTGACAAGTAACTGAGAGAGGCCTCGGCGGACAGGCACTGAAGAACAGAGGCCCTTGGTCCAACAGTCCACGAGGAGCTGAATCCCAACAAGAAAAATGTGAGTGAGCTGGGAAATGGATCATCCACAGCTGTGCCGAGATGAAACCACAGCTTCAGGTTATACCTTGACTGAAACTGGTGAGAAACCTTGATGGAGAGGATCCAGGTAAGGATCCTGATCTGTGACCCAGAAAAAGTATGAGATAATAAATTCTGTTGTTTTAAGTTGATAAATTGTGGGATAGCATGTTAAAGGGATAACTAATGCAAGACCAAAAAATAAAGCAAAGATCTCTTTGAAAAGATATCTTTATTCCAACAAATAAAATGCTTAAAAAAAATGAAACAAGGTCACAAAAATCTCAAGAAAAAAAGATGGTTTCTGAAGCTGTAAAACTTAAGTTACAGAGCTGTGTAACAGTTCAGCAGTATGTCCAAGTCTAAAAAAAATTTCCTTTAAAGGTTTAAAAACTTTCTTTAGAACAAGAAATACTGATACCGTTGGAGTATAAAAATGTCTGCACAGCTTTAGATCTCAGTTAAAGAACCTCCAAGACTTAGTACAAAGAAAATACAAAAAAACTGAACTTATATTCTGACTCAACAGTAGACTATGATTTCTTATTATAATTTATTCATGAAAAGGTTGCCTCAAGGCATGTTATAAATATATAAGGCACAGAAACATGTATCATAAAATATTAAATTTCAAAACAATTTTATGTTTCAATATATTACTTTAAAAAATAAAAACCAACAAAATACTTCAACAGGGGAAAAGTGAAGTAAAACCCTATCAATAAAAATTAATCTATTAATTACGGTCTACTCAAGCTAAGTATCTCTTAATTAAAAAGCAATTAATCTCCATCAATCAGGGATTGTCCAAATTTATTTTGTAAAACATCTGACAATTCATAAAAATGTACAGAATGTAAACATATAACAAAACTGGGGGGAGAGGGATTTAAGGTGTATTTTCAATTAAAACTCAGTATTTTATGTTTCAAAAAGCACCAAATTAAACTCTCAAAGATACAACAAAAATACATTTTTTTCATAAGCATCACAGACTACTCTGAATAACAGAAGCTTTCAAAAGTTTCTGGCACCACAGAAATATTCCGGTTAAGAAAACTGATATTGGACCTTGAAGATGGCGGAAGAGTAAGACGCGGAGATCACCTTCCTCCCCACAGATACACCAGAAATACATCTACACGTGGAACAACTCCTACAGAACACCTACTGAATGCTGGCAGAAGACCTCAGACCTCCCAAAAGGCAAGAAAGTCCCCACGTACCTGGGTAGGGCAAAAGAAAAAAAAAGAAGAAAAAACAGAGACAAAAGAATAGGGACAGCACCTGCACCAGTGGGAGGGAGCTATGAAGGAGGAAAAGTTTCCACACACTAGGAAGCCCCTTCGCGGGCGGAGACTGCGGGAGGCGGAAGGGGGAGCTTCGAAGCCGCGGAGGAGTGCACAGCAACGGGTGCGGAGGGAAAAGCGGGGAGATTCCCGCACAGAGGATCGGTGCCGACCGGCACTCACCAGCCCGAGAGGCTTGTCTGCTCACCCGCCGGGGCGGGCGGGGCTGCGAGCTGAGGCTCTGAGGCTCGGTTTCGGATTAGGTTTCGGATTAGGTTTCGGACGGAGCGAAGGGAGAGGACTGGGGTTGGCGGCTTGAACATAGCCTGAAGGGGTTAGTGCACCACGGCTAGCCGGGAGGGAGTCCGGGGAAAAGTCTGCACCTGCCGAAGAGGCAAGAGACTTTTTCTTACCTCTTTGTTTCCTGGTGCGTGAGGAGAGGGGTTTAAGAACGCTGCTTAAAGGAACTCCAGAGACGGGCGCGAGCCGCGGCTAAAAGCGCGGACCCCAGAGACGAGCGGGAGACGCTAAGGCTGCTGCTGCCGCCACCAAGGGGCCTGTGTGCGAACACAGGTCACTCTCCACACCCCTCTTCCGCGGAGCCTGTGCAGTCCGCCACTGCCAGGTTCCCGGGATCCAGGGACAACTTCCCCGGGAGAACGCACGGCGGGCCTCAAGCTGGTGCGAAGTCACGCCGGACTTTGCCGCCGCAGGCCCGCCCCACACTCCGTGCCCCTCCCTCCCCGCCGGCCTGAGTGCGCCAGAGCCCCCAAATCAGCGGCTCCTTTAACCCCGTCCTGTCTGAGCAAAAAACAGACGCCCTCCAGCGACCTACACGCAGAGGCGGGGCCCAATCCAAAGCTGAGCCCTGGTGAGCTGTGAGAACAAAGAAGAGAAAGGGAAATCTCTCCCAGCAGCCTCAGGAGCAGCGGATTAAAGCTCCACAATCAACTTGATATACCCTGCATCTGTGGAATACCTGAATAGACAACCAATCATCCCAAATTAAGGAAGTGGACTTTAGGAGCAAGATCTATGATTTTTTTCCCTATTCCTCTTTTTGTGAGTGTGTATGTGTATGCTTCTGTGTGAGATCTTGTCTGTATAGTCTTGCTTCCACCATTTGTCCTAGGGTTCTATCCGTCCATGGTTTTTTTTTTAATTTTTTTCTTAATAATCAATTTTCATTTTAATAACGTTATTATACTTTACCTTCGTTCTTTCTTTCTTTCCTTCCTTCCTTCCTTCCCTCCCTTAGACAACGAATCATCCCAAATTGAGGAGGTGGTCTCTGACAGCAAGATTTATGATTTTTCCCCCTTTACCTCTTTTAGTGAGGGTATATGTGTATGCTTCTGTGTAAGATTTTGTCTGTATAGCTTTGCTTCCAACATTTGTCCTAAGGTTCTATCCGTCCCTTTTATTTTTCCTAAATAATAATTTTTTAATTC